ATGATGAAGAAGAAGAAAAAAGAAGAAAAGAAGATGATGAAGAAGAAGAGAAGATGATGAAGAAGAAGAAGAAGAAGAAGAAGAAGAAGAAGAAGAAGAAGAAGTTGTTTCCAAACCCCAGACCGTTCCAACTTTCTTTATCTGGACTCTCTAACGATTACAAATCCCATTTTCCTCTGCCAAAGACTCATCTTGAATGCTAGGTTTCAGGGTGCCAAGAATGAGACAAAGCCTTCCCTATCATCCCCAGCCAGCCCCATCCTGGTTCAGGAGGATGAGAGGTGTAGTCCAGCTGCTTGACGGGTGCCAGGTTTCTTTGAAAGCACCAAGGGAACGCACAGAACAAGGCACAGTTGAGGGTTAGCCAATGCTGCCCCCTGGTGGCCAAAAGAAGAAACATACATAAGTGCCATCTAACTAACATCTGGATGACATCTCCCCCCCCCCCCCCCCACCCCCCCCCCGCAGCTGTGTGAACCCGGTTGGGGGGGCCCCCCCCCCCCCCCCCGCCACAAACCCCACTCAATTTGACAGTGGTTGTAGCATCCATCCAGCTAGCCAGTGTTTACCACCCCCATTTACAATAATACAGCACTCAATTTAAAACCATTCGTTTAGCGACTGTTTAAAAGTTACAACGGCCCTGACAAAGGGGGCTTACGACCAGGCCTCACACTTAACGACCATCACACGGCGTCGCACACAGTGTGTAGCAGGCTGCCTGGACGGGGCTCAAAAGGATCCAAGTCAACTGGAAACGGGGTCTACTATGATACCCCCAAAGCCACGATTGTAGGCTTGTGAGATCCAAGGGAGGGTTTAGCCTTAAGAGAGGCACAACAAGCCACAATCAGAGCGCCAGATGGCAAGTTACATGGTTATTTACCGGAAAATGAGCCAACACCTCCCCCCCATCTGTTTGATGCCAGGCATCAAATGCTAATCGGATTAAGGTTTAGGAAGAAAACAAGTGCAAATGAATTGGGAGGGGGTGAATTAAGTCCTGGGGGTGTGTTTAAGTCCTGGGGGTGTCATTCTCCCCCCCTTCCTCCTCGTGTTTAGATCAAAGGGAAAAAAAGGGAATTTAAATGAAGCATGGGTGGGATTAAACCCAGTTTGTTTGCAAACGGGAAAAAAATGCCTTTAAAAAGGTTCCAAATAAATTATTAGAATTGGGGTGTGTTTTTGCTCCTGGGAAAATAACTTTTTTTGCTTCTGGGTAAAGGGAAAAGGGGGGGCAGGAATGAGAATCCCCCCCCAAAAAATGCCAAAAGGGAAGCTCTGGTTAGTGGAAACAAGCCAGATTGAGCCCCAAGAGTGGGTTTAAAACAAGGATTCTCAAGATTTGGCTCTTTTAAGATGGATGGACTTCAACTTCCAGAAATCCCCCAGCCGCCGTCCTTAAAAAGTCTATACTTAAATCATGCTGGCTGGAGACTTTCAGATTCAGAATGAGTGGAAAGGGACCTTGTAGGTCATCTAGTCCAACCCCCCCCAACCGAGCCCCCCCCCCAAAAAAGCAGGAATTCAATTCTGGGAGTTGAAATCCACCCAATCTTAAACGGGGCCAAGTTTGAGAAAGATGGGAAAAAATGGAAGCAAAAAAAAGAGGATGGAGTTTTTAAGGCGCTGCTGATTTTGGCGGCTGGGTATGGACTACAACTCCCATCACCCCGCGCTCATCTGTGAATTCGAGATCCATCCTTGGTTTTATATGCTTTCGAGACCTTTTAATAGGGCATTCTCTTTTTATATCCGTTATTATGATGAGCCACCGTGAGTTATGTCTGGGAGATTGGTGGTCATATCGTCAATCAATGTAGATGTGACAGCTGTGGAACTACAACTCCCATCATCCTCTGCCAGCCTAACTTTTATTTATTCCTTTATTCTGCACTCTGGTCAGCTTACAATTAAATTAAATTACAATTAAATCTCCTCCCCCTCCTCTCAACTCCATCCAAGCCACTGGGCTTCTTCTCTCTTTTGGACTACAACACCCAGCATGGCCCTCTCCAAAGCTTAAAAACCAGGGTGGATCGTGGAGGGTGGATCTTGTAGTCTTATCTAGACCTTAGACGTGTCAGTGGACCACCCCCGGGTTTAAAAATCCTCTTTTCCCGCCGGTTTCCAAGGTCTGAGGTAGACTTCTCCTAACCCTGGAGGCTCTATTTCATTCCTTCAGCGGAACCCGCCAGGAGCGCTCTGCGGTTGCCATGGCGAAGCGTCACGCCCCGTTGACGTCAGAGCGGGGGGGGAGGAGGGAGAAAGAGAGTCCTCGTGCGCCGCGCGCTCCGCGTGACGCAATCACTCTGCGCCCCCACAGCACGGCGGGGCTGAGGGGAAAAAATAAAAAGAGAAAGCGGGCGGCGGCCTCCCTTTCGATTGCCCATCTCCAACCGGGATTTGCTCCGAGTGCGGGAGAGGTGAGTCGGCCTCCCCCGGCTTCGAGCCGGGAAGGCGGCGAGGAAAGCGAGGCAGCGACGGTCGCGGGGAAAGGGGGGGGGAAAAGGCGGACGGGAGAAAAGCAGCGCGGATTGAGCGGGAACGCGTTGGGGGCTTGGTACGCATGCGTGGTGCCGGGGAGCGGCTCGCTGGGCCGCGTCGCGCGTGCGCAGTAACGCCCGAGGTCTTTTCCCCTCCCCCCCCAAGTTTGGACCCAATCTTCGCTCTTATGGAGTCGTGCGCGCATGCGCGCCGGCGCCGTCCGTGGTTCCGGGTCCCGCAAGCCTCCAGGCGTGCGGTGGGCGAAGGGGCGGGGATGCACCCGCCCCCCCTCCGGCTGCCTTTCCCCAACCTGGCGCCGTCAAGAGGCGGGCGCCCCTGCTCCCATGCTCCACAGCCTGCCTGCTGGCTGGGGTGAGGGTTTTGCAACCCAGCTCTTGGAGAGGGAAGGGGGCTGAGGTTGGGGGGGGCGCCGAAAAGGATGGGGAGGGGAGGGGGAGATGGGGGGGCCTTAGCAATATAAATGGGGTGATCTATTGCATGCCTATTGGAGGGAGGGGAAGATGGGTGCAGACACACGTGGTGGCATTGCAAGAACCCAGCCTGGTTTTGCCTGGAAATAAATACATATAAACAAAAATAAAGATAAATTAAGGGGAGGATGCAATACCCCAACTTAGAAGGAGGTTGCACCTGTCTGGCTTGCACAGGGAGAGGTCGAAAAAGGCCATCCAAACAAAGGAACAGTTAAGTTCCTGGTAAAATAAAGTAAGTTGCTAGTCCTCATGGATGCAGAGGCAATGCAGATGCACGGTGCAGAAAACTGGTGCCTTCTCATTGGATCAACCCTGTGCATTGCTTTCCTTCCCACCCTCCCACACAGCTTCCATATATAGGGGCAAGTCCTCAACTTACTGAAGGACTGAAGGACCGTTTTTTTCTCTCTTAACGACCGTTGCACTCTCCAAATTCTTGACGCTTGGCAACCGACTCGTATTTATGACAGTCGCCGCAGCGTCCCCTTTGGTGACATTCTGATGGGGGAAACCAGATTCACTTCACAACTGGGCTCTATAAACCACTGTGATGATTCACTTAACAACGGTGGCAAGAAAGGTCACGAAATCGGGCAAAAAAAATCACTTAAACGTCTTGTTTAGCAACGTCAATCCTAGGCTCAATGGTGGTCGTAAGTCGAGGACTACCTGTATTTATAGCAGGGTAGCGACAATGATAAAAATTTGAATTTGCCGCCTATTATGTTCCGAGGGATTGCATTTGCCACTAAAATAAGTTATTTTGAGTTTCTGTTTCAAAGGAGGCTGCTAGGAAGGGTGTGTTTGTGTTGGTGTGTGTGTGTGTGTGTATCATAATGTTCCTTGGAGTCAACGTTGAGACTCCTGACAACTGCCTGGATAAATTCCTGTAGTTTTTATGGCAAGATTTCAGGAGTAGCTTGGCATGGTTGTCTGCTGGGAAGAGAGAGAGGATTTAGTAACGGAAAGAAACCAAGGACCATCAGATTCACCCAGGTTTACAAATCATTTATTTAATTTTGTATATAATTCCCCACCCCCTTTTTTTAAAAAATCTAACCCTTATCTTGGATCATGTGTACAATAGAATCTAAATGGAAATTTGGAAAAGACTTTTCTACAGAAAAGTAGCATTTGCAGCTCAGCCTTGGCAGTCTCTGAGCTGGGTGGTTTCCTTGCAGACCTTTCATGACCCAACTAGGGAACATCATCAGTGCTAGAAGCGAGTGGGGTTTGCTCTCTATTTAGTTATAGCAGCCCTGCTTCACTTCTATCACTGATGATGTAACCTCGTTGGGCCGTGAAAGGTCTGCAAGAAAACCACCCAGCTCAGAGAGCATCCAGGACCCCATTTTTCTACTGTATATGCTTATTTATTTTATTGTATTTATTGAAATCGCCTATTCACCCATGGCGACTCAAGGCGGCTTATGGAATATGAAAACCAATCATTCCCCATCCGCCACGTCGTTCTTGTAACAAGGCTTACAATTCTACAAACAGGAGTCAAAATCAGGATGCGTTGGTTTTTTTCAAAAAAAAAAAAGAGCAGAATTGAATTTATTCAACCCATCAAAACCCAACGTTTTTCCTTTCAATTCAGGCAGGATTTATAATGCCCCTTTGTTACTGTCTCCCAACAACAGCCCTGTGAGGTTGGGTCGGTCTTAAGACTACCCTTTGCTTCTTCGCATCTATTTTTGAAGGATAAGGGTAGGATCCCGGGCAGCAGCAACTCCTTACCCCCAAACCCAGAACCTTTATGCGAGAGGCGTCCAATTCAAATTTCATCATGCTTGTTTCCGTCTGCAGAAGAGAAATTGGGATTCAGTGGATCTTTGGGTGGGGGGGTGGGGAAGGGGGGGAATCCCCATTACCTCCTCCCCGCAGGGGGGGGGGGGGTGGGGAGCGGGAAGGAAGGGGGAAAATTGGGGGGGGGGGGGGGACCCAAATGCCTTGTGCAAATCCAGCTTTAAAATGACTGGGAAAAGGAAGGAAACGGATTTGCCCTTTTCAAAGATGGCGCCGGCGGGCTCGGCAGCGGGGCCCTGGGAAGGCCGCGGGGGTCGCGCTCTCCAAGGCGTCATCGCTGCTCGCCGGCGCTGGTCCCCGCACAATAGAGGTGGCTTCCTTCGGAGGCGCCAGGCGAAACCGCCGAAAGGGGAGGGGAGGTAAGGCCGAGGCCGGGGCCGGGCCCGATCGGGGCAGGGGCGGCGGGTGCAAAAGGCCCGCCTGGGAGGGAAGGGAAGCCGCGGCAAGCAGACTCTGGGGGCGTCTGCCCGGCTCCCCCAGGCCTAAGTGGGGCAACGCAACTCCAGGCAGTGTGATGCAATCCGTTCATGAACGTGTG